CATTCTATAATGGATGTAAACTCTGATCTATTCATTCTATAATGGATGTCAACTGATCTATTCATTCTATAATGGATATAAACTGATCTATTCATTCTATAATGGATGTCAACTGATCTATTCATTCTATAATGGATATAAACTGATCTATTCATTCTATAATGGATGTAAACTGATCTGTTCATTCTATAATGGATGTAAACTCTGATCTATTCATTCTATAATGGATGTAAACTGATCTATTCATTCTATAATGGATGTAAACTCTGATCTATTCATTCTATAATGGATGTAAACTCTGATCTATTCATTCTATAATGGATGTCAACTGATCTGTTCATTCTATAATGGATGTCAACTGATCTATTCATTCTGTAATGGATGTAAACTCTGATCTATTCATTCTATAATGGATGTCAACTGATCTATTCATTCTATAATGGATGTAAACTGATCTGTTCATTCTATAATGGATGTAAACTGATCTATTCATTCTATAATGGATGTAAACTGATCTATTCATTCTATAATGGATATAAACTGATCTATTCATTCTATAATGGATATAAACTGATCTATTCATTCTATAATGGATGTAAACTCTGATCTATTCATTCTATAATGGATGTAAACTCTGATCTATTCATTCTATAATGGATGTCAACTCCTCTGTATGTTGTCTAATGGATGTCAACTCCTCTGTATGTTGTCTAATGGATGTCAACTCCTCTGTATGTTGTCTAATGGATGTCAACTCCTCTGTATGTTGTCTAATGGATGTCAACTCCTCTGTATGTTGTCTAATGCTAGCAGCACCATTTTCACCAAGTATGTAAATGTGATTATTTATTGAGTTTTCTTGTGTGTCTCACTCTCTGCCCACCAGGAGCTGAACCGTCTGCGTAAGGCAGCGCTGGCGTTTGGTTTCTGGGAGCTGCTGAAGGGCGTGTCAGAGCTGTTGGAGAGGGAGTGTACCCTGCTGCCGGACACGGCCCACCCTGACGCAGCCTTCCAGCTGTCACACGCAGCCCAACAGCTCAAACTAGCCTCCACGGGAGACTCCCAGTACGCTGCCTTCGACCACAACATCAACCCCATGCACACTGACTTCTCTGGGGGAGGAGCTGGCATGTAGAGGAAGGAGAGAGGAGGAGGAGGAGTTGGACACCCTATTCTCTGGGCTTTAGAGATGTCGACCATGACTAGGACCCGTCTCCACTCCCAACGCCCAGGAAGCTCCCATTCAGACTGCCATTAGACAGCTCTGCAAGTGTTGTCAAAATACAGGCGTTACTATAATTATAAATAATTGGTCATTTAGCAGACGCTCTTATCCAGAGCGACTTACAGGAGCAATTAGGGTTAAGTGCCTTGCTCAAGGGCACATCGACAGATTTTTCACCTAGTCGGCTCGGGGATTAGAACCAGCGACCTTTCGGTTACTGGCACAACGCTCTTAACCACTAAGCTACCTACTCACCAAGTATGGAGTTTCACTGAGCAACTATCTTCATGTACTTCCAGAAAAGGTCTAAAGAAAGATGTCCATGCAACCAAAAAAGATCCTATTCGGCACCTCCAATGTTCACTCACGTCCGAAGCATCCCGGATAGCGCTAACCTTACTGCCACGCACAGGTCAGAAGTCTACAACAGCTCAATGACATTGAAGGTGCCGAAGAGGCTTTTTTTTTGGTTGCTTGTACATTTTTATTTATACCTATTTTGAAACTTCATATTTGGTGAGTAACGGCTGTGTTTTGACATAACGCTTGCAGGGCAGTTTGAATGGGAGCTTCCTGGGCGTTAGAGAAGAGACGGGTCATGGTCGACATCTCTAAAGGCCAGATACTGGGGCACCTATTCCCTATAGGCTCTGGTCTAAAGTAGTGCACTAGATAGGGAATAGGGTGCCATTTGGCTATAGGCCCTGGTCTAAAGTAGTGCACTAGATAGCCAAATGGCACCCTATTCCCTATCTAGTGCACTGCTTTAGACCAGGGCCCATAGCCAAATGGCACCCTATTCCCTATCTAGTGCACTACTTTAGACCAGGGCCTATAGCCAAATGGCACCCTATACCCTATGGGCCCTGGTCTAAAGTAGTGCACTAGATAGGGTATAGGGTGCCATTTGGCTATGGGCCCTGGTCTAAAGTAGTGCACTATATAGGGAATAGGGTGCCGTTTCGGACTATTAGAATGGTTAATCAAGGAAGAATGAAGCTCTCCGGCACACCAACTGTTAACTCAAAGCCTAGGCCTATGGCTTCACACGTGTTTTTGTTGACCTGTTTTGTACATATCGTTTTCTAACTTTCCTAATGAATAAAATGAAAAGGGTCTCTTTTTTCATCACCGTGTCAACGATGAGTATCTTTATTAATCTTACGCAATTTCCCCAGGAAGTGGAACCACCGCTCATTTTTATTCAGCATATTCATTGACATGACAAAAACATATCTTATAATGTGACTTTCCCTGAGGAATGATGTTATCAGGATAACTTTAACAAACACCCGGAAATAAGACATCATACTGCTAAATTATTCTAACGCTATTATCAACTACATCAGAAAATACAAGACAAAAGGGTTGAGGTTTAGGGTTGGAAAATTCCCAGGTTTTCCCTAACTGGGACTTCTGGGAAAGTTGCCAGAATTTTGTCACCCTAGTTGAGAAGATGTCACTAAATGAGACCGATGGGAACAGATAGGCAGCAGAGGTGTTGTTGGAGATCAAAGTTAAAAAAGATCTCAGTTAGATTTCCTCTTCTTGGTCCGGAACCTCTTCCTCCTCTGCTTGTACAGGTGGCGGAGTGATGAGAACCCTGCTATAATACACAATTTCCCGGAAGATTCTTGACAGACAAAAACAATCTTAAATGTGACTTTCCCGAGGAATGATTTTTAAATGGATAACTTTAACAAACACCCGGAAATAAGACATCTTTATGCAAATTATCTAACGCATTATCAACTACATCAAAAAAATACAAGACAAAGGGTTGAGGTGGGGTTGGAATGGTTTCCCCTAACTGGACTTCTGGAAAGTTGCCGAATTTGTCACCCTTAGTTGAGATGATGTCACTAAATGAGACCGTTTGGGAAAGATAGGCAGCAGAGGTTGTTGTTGGAGATCAAACGTCAAAAAAAATCTCAGTTAGATTTCCTCTTCTTGGTCCGGAACCTCTTCTTCCTCTGCTTGTACAGGTGGCGGACGTTGATGAGCAGCCCTGCAACACAACAGACAATATCGTTAATGAGAAGCCCTGCAACACAACAGACAATTACGTTATGGGGTGTGCCTGAAGTCACTATATATATGGGGGGCTAAGACGTTTAATGAGAAGGCTGCAACACACAGGTCCAATCTTATCGTTAATGAGAAGCCCTGCAAGAACAACATATTCGTTATATGGGGAAGCCTTGCACACACAGCTATATCGGTGATGAGAAGCTATGCCATCACTACAATGGGTAATGAGTAAGGCTCCACTAACAGGGATATCGGGTTAAAGAGAAGCTGCAACACATGAGCGATCGTTGTATGAGAAGCCCTGAACACAACTATGACAATATGTTAATGAGAAGCCCTTGCAACAATACAGACAATATCGTTAAAGAGAAGCCCTCAACCAACTGACAATATCGTAATGAGAAGCCCTGCAACATAACAGATAATAGTGAGAGAAGCCCTCAGACCACAGACATATCGTGATGAGACATTTATAAAATGGGGTGTGTGGCCTATGAGGTGTACATCTTTATATATGGGGGTGTGGCCTATGAGGTGTCGATCTTATAAGGGGATGTGGCCTATGACCGGTGTCCATCTTTATATAGGGGTGTGGCCTATGAGGTGCCATCTTTATATGGGGGTGTGGCCTATGAGGTGTCCATCTTTAGATATGGGGGTTGTGGCCTATGATGTGCCATCTTTATATATGGGGGTGTGGCCTATGAGGTCCATCTTATATATGGGGGTGTGGCCTATAGAGGGTACAGTCTTTATATATGGGGTGTGGCCTATGAGGTGGTCCATCTTATATGGGGGTGTGGCCTATGAGGGTCCATCTTATATATGGGGGTGTGGCCTATGAGGTGTCCACTTTATATTGGGGGTGTGGCATGGGTATCCATCGTTATATATGGGGTGTGGCCTATGAGGTGTCATTTTTATATATGGGGGTGTGCCTTTTGAGGTATCCATCTTTAGATATGGGGGTGTGGGCCCATGTGGTATCCATCTTTATATGTGGGGTGTGGCCTATGAGGTCATCTTTATATATGGGGGTGGCCTATGAGGGTCCATCTTTATATATGGGGGTGTGGCCTATGAGGTGTCCATCTTGATAATGGGGGTGTGGCCTATAGAGTGTCCATCTTTAATATGGGGGGTGTGCGCTATGAGGTGTCCATCTTTATATATGGGGGTGAGCCTATGAGGTCCATCTTATATATGGGGGTGTGGCCTATGAGGTATCCATCTTTATATGTGGGGGTGTGGCCTAGAGGTGTCCATCTGATATGGGGGTGTGGCTATGAGGTGTCCATCTTTATATGGGGTGTGGCCTAGTGGTATCCATCTTATATATGGGGGTGGCCTATGAGGTGCCATTTTATATATGGGGGTGGGACTGTGGTATCCATCTTTATATATGGGGGTGTGGCCTATGAGGTGTCCATCTTTATATATGGGGGTGTGGCCTTGAGGTATCCATCTTTATATATGGGGGTGTGGCCTATGTGGTATCCATCTTATATGTGGGGTGTGGGGCCTATGAGGTGTCCATTTATTATATGGTGGGGTGTGGCCTATGAGGTGTCCATCTTTAATATATGGGGTGTGGCCTATGGTGTCATCTTTATATATGGGGTGTGGCCTATGAGGTGTCCGTCTTATATATGGGGGTGTGGCCTATGAGGTGTCCATCTTTATATATGGGGGTGTGGCCTATGAGGTGTCCATTTTATATATGGGGGTGTGGCCTATGAGGTATCCATCTTTATATATGGGGGTGTGGCCTATGAGGTGTCCATCTTTATATGTGGGGGTGTGGCCTATGAGGTGTCCATCTTTATATGTGGGGGTGTGGCCTATGAGGTGTCCATCTTTATATGTGGGGGTGTGGCCTATGAGGTGTCCATCTTTATATGTGGGGGTGTGGCCTATGAGGTGTCCATCTTTATATGTGGGGGTGTGGCCTATGAGGTGTCCATCTTTATATGTGGGGGTGTGGCCTATGAGGTGTCCATCTTTATATATGGGGGTGTGGCCTATGAGGTGTCCATCTTTATATATGGGGGGTGGCCTATGTGGTATCCATCTTTATATATGGGGGTGTGGCCTATGAGGTGTCCATCTTATATGTGGGGGTTGGCCTATGAGGTGGTCATCATTTATATGTGGGTGTGTGTGCACTTGAGGTTGTCCAGTCTTTATATGGGGTGGGTGTGGCCTATGAGGTGTCCATCTTTATATGTGGGGTGTGGCCGTATGAGGTGTCATCTTATATGTGGGGGTGTGGCCTATGAGGTGTCCATCTTTATATGTGGGGGTATGGCCTATGAGGTGTCATAAAAATTATTGTCATAATGTTGTCATATGTACACAGCCTTTAAAGATGGACACCTCAACGTTGTTACAAATAGTAATTACACCGTGTGTACAGGTGTGGAGACATTTTACATGAATATGGTGAATGTACGAGGGACTAGAAAGTTCTTACCGATGACCTAGAGGTGATAGAATAGAGGACATAGGAGAAGCTGACAGAGGAGCCCAGGCCCAGGGCTTTTGGTAGAGGGATACTGAACAGTCTGCTCTGGTCAAACACTGAGATGGACTGGACCACTGCAACCGCTGGAGAGGTAGGGGGGGAGAGAGAGAGATAACTGTTGAGTAAAGTGTTACCCAGGTATTCTGTCCATTCTTCAGGCTTCCTATTACCTAGCCTTAATAATACTATACACCCCTTTGGGAAGTAAAGGTGAACTAACTCACCTTCAGCCAGCACCCCCAGAGGGTACAGGGGTATCCAGATGGTGTACCTCAGCCAGGTGATCGTCTTCCATTCTGTGTCGATACAACCCAGCATGTAGAACGGATACCTGGGGGGAGCGGTGTATTTTAATTGGAAAGAATGGCGTCTCTAGTTCAAAGAACGTTCTGAAGACATAAAGTAAACCACAGATCTGTGGCAGTGTTGTGGTATAAACCAGGCTAACATCTACAGAGGAAACTGTGGACAGATAATGCCATCATGATCTTACACATTACTAACGCTGCTGAGGAAGCTTCTTGATGATCGGCCATTTTGCTTCCACATCCATGCAACACACAGTCAGCATGAATGACCCCTTTATGTGCAGTAGACTTATAATACCCACCTAAACATCTCTATAGCGCTCCAGAGGTAGAAGACAGTAATATACCCACCCTAAACATCTCTATAGCGCTCCAGAGGTAGAAGACAGTAAATACCCACCTAAACCATCTCTATAGCGCTCCCAGAGGGTAGAAGACAGTAATATACCCACCTAAACATCTCTATAGCGCTCCAGAGGTAGAAGACAGTAATATACCCACCTAAACATCTCTACAGCGCTCCAGAGGTAGAAGACAGTAATATACCCACCTAAACATCTCTACAGCGCTCCAGAGGTAGAAGACAGTAATATACCCACTAAACATCTCTATAGCGCTCCCAGAGGTAGAAGACAGTAATATACCCACCTAAACATCTCTATAGCGCTCCAGAGGTAGAAAGACAGTAATATACCCACCTAAAACACTCTATAGCGCTCCAGAGGTAGAAGACAGTAATATACCCACCTAAACATCTCTATAGCGCTCCAGAGGTAGAAGACAGTAATATACCCACCTAAACATCTCTATAGCGCTCCAGAGGTAGAAGACAGTAATATACCCACCTAAACATCTCTATAGCGCTCCAGAGGTAGAAGACAGTATATACCCACCTAAACATCTCTATGCGCTCCAGAGGTAGAAGACAGAATATACCCACCTAAACACTCTCTATAGCGCTCCAGAGGTAGAAGACAGTAATATAACCCACTAAACATCTTCTACAGCGCTCAGAGGTAGAAGACAGTAATATACCCCACCTAAACATCTCTACAGCGCTCCAGAGGTAGGAAGACAGTAATATACCCACCTAAGCATCTCTATAGCGCTCCAGAGGTAGAAGACAGTAATATACCCACCTACACATCTCTATGCGCTCCAGAGGTAGAAGACAGTAATATACCCACCTAAAACATCTCTATAGCGCTCCAGGGTAGAAGACAGTAATATACCCACCTAAACATCTCTACAGCGCTCCAGAGGTAGAAGACAGTAATATACCCACCTAACACATCTCTACAGCGCTCCAGAGGTAGAAGACAGTAATATACCCAACCTAAACATCTCTATAGCGCTCCAGAGGTAGAAGACAGTTAATATACCCACCTAAACATCTCTATAGCGCTTCCAGAGGTAGAAGACCAGTAATATACCCACCTCAAACATCTCTATAGCGCTCCAGAGGTAGAAGACAGTAATATACCCACCTAAAACAGCTCTACAGCGCTCCAGAGGTAGAAGACAGTAATATACCCACCTAAACATTCTATAGCGCTCCAGAGGTAAGAAGACAGTAATATACCCACCTAAACATTCTCTATAGCGCTCCAGAGGTAGAAGACAGTAATATACCCACCTAAAACATCTCTATAGCGCTCCAGAGGTAGACGACAGTAATATACCCACCTAAACATCTCTATAGCGCTCCAGAGGTAGAAGACAGTAATATACCCACCTAAACATCTCTATAGCGCTCCAGAGGTAGAAGACAGTAATATACCCCACCTAAACATCTCTACAGCGCTCCAGAGGTAGAAGACAGTAATATACCCACCTAAACATCTCTATAGCGCTCCAGAGGTAGAAGACAGTAATACCCACCTAAACATCTCTACAGCGCTCCAAGAGGTAGAAGACAGTAATATACCCACCTAAACATCTCTATAGCGCTCCAGAGGTAGAAGACAGTAATATACCCACCTAAACATCTCTACAGCGCTCCAGAGGTAGAAGACAGTAATATACCCACCTAAACATCTCTATAGCGCTCCAGAGGTAGAAGACAGTAATATACCCACCTAAACATCTCTATAGCGCTCCAGAGTAGAAGACAGTAATATACCCACCTAAACATCTCTACAGCGCTCCAGAGGTAGAAGACAGTAATATACCCACCTAAACATCTCTATAGCGCTCCAGAGGTAGAAGACAGTAATATACCCACCTAAACATCTCTATAGCGCTCCAGAGGTAGAAGACAGTAATATACCCACCTAAACATCTCTATAGAGCTCCAGAGGTAGAAGACAGTAATATACCCACCTAAACATCTCTATAGCGCTCCAGAGGTAGAAGACAGTAATATACCCACCTAAACATCTCTATAGCGCTCCCAGAGGTAGAAGACAGTAATATACCCAACTAAACATCTCTACAGCGCTCCAGAGGTAGAAGACAGTAATATACCCACCTAAACATCTCTACAGCGCTCCAGAGGTAGAAGACAGTAATATACCCACCTAAACATCTCTATAGCGCTCCAGAGTGTAGAAGACAGTAATATACCCACCTAAACATCTCTATAGCGCTCCAGAGGTAGAGACAGTAATATACCCACCTAAACATCTCTATAGCGCTCCAGAGGTAGAAGACAGTAATATACCCACCTAAACATCTCTATAGCGCTCCAGAGGTAGAAGACAGTAATATACCCACCTAAACATCTCTATAGCGCTCCAGAGGTAGAAGACAGTAATATACCCACCTAAACATCTCTATAGCGCTCCAGGGGTAGAAGGACAGTAATATACCCACCTAAACATCTCTATAGCGCTCCAGAGGTAGAAGACAGTAATATACCCACCTAAACATCTCTATAGAGCTCCAGAGGTAGAAGACAGTAATATACCCACCTAAACATCTCTATAGCGCTCCAGAGGTAGAAGACAGTAATATACCCACCTAAACATCTCTATAGCGCTCCAGAGGTAGAAGACAGTAATATACCCACCTAAACATCTCTATAGCGCTCCAGAGGTAGAAGACAGTAATATACCCACCTAAACATCTCTATAGCGCTCCAGAGGTAGAAGACAGTATATACCCACCTAAACATCTCTATAGCGCTCCAGAGGTAGAAGACAGTAATATACCCACCTAAACATCTCTACAGCGCTCCAGAGGTAGAAGACAGTAATATACCCACCTAAACATCTCTATAGCGCTCCAGAGGTAGAAGACAGTAATATACCCACCTAAACATCTCTACAGCGCTCCAGAGGTAGAAGACAGTAATATACCCACCTAAACATCTCTACAGCGCTCCAGAGGTAGAAGACAGTAATATACCCACCTAAACATCTCTATAGAGCTCCAGAGGTAGAAGACGAAGAAGACCACTGCTTTGTTGTGCATCTCATCCAGGCTGCCGAAGATGATGAAGAGGATGAAGTTCCTACCAACCACCTGGAAATGAAGAACACCACAGTACACAGACTGACAGACAGACGTGTACTCCACAGTACACAGAGTCACACAAACACCAGACAGGACTGACAGACAGATGTGTACTCCCCAGTACTCCAGACGTGTACTCCCCAGTACTCCAGACGTGTACTCCCCAGTACTCCCCAGTACTCCAGACGTGTACTCCCCAGTACTCCCCAGTACTCCAGACGTGTACTCCCCAGTACTCCCCAGTACTCCAGACGTGTACTCCAGTGTACTCCAGACGTGTACTCCCCAGTACTCCCCAGTACTCCAGACGTGTACTCCCCAGTACTCCCCAGTACTCCAGACGTGTACTCCCCAGTACTCCCCAGTACTCCAGACGTGTACTCCAGTGTACTCCAGACGCATACTCCCCAGTACTCCCCAGTACTCCAGACGTGTACTCCCCAGTACTCAGAATATTGTTTTACAAAAATACAATTGTATAGAATGTTAGGAAAATAATTGTATAATTAATTTTTTTTAAACAACAAAACTTTGGTAACACCTAATAACAATTTAATGAATAATCCATTATAAATGCTTCTAGATACTTAAAGGGGAAAGTATTGCGGAGTATGATGACTGCCTGTGTTCCAAGACGCTGTCAGTGTTGAAATGAAAATGGTTAGATTCAAAGTAGTGTCCCTGAACACAGTACCGTACCTGTATAAAAGCAGGAACCACCGCAGTCTTGACCACTCCAAACATAGCGTTGAGCACTTCTACACTGGCTAATATTTGGCAGAAAAACATCACGTCCGAGATGGTGTAGAATGTGTCATAGAGAGAATCTGAAAGGAGAGAACAGTTGAAAATATGTCATGCCGTGTTTTTCACTGCAACACAGAGTTTACAATTTACAGTTGTCTTAAGATTTCTTTCTGAACAATAATAACCTGGGTTGCCAGTTAGTTTCTGCTCTATTGCAAACTCCTTATCAGAGCAGCTAGACTTGCACCCAGTATAAAGAGTCTAACTGAAGTGATTCACCTTGTCCCAGTATAAAGAGTCTAACTGAAGTGATTCACCTTGTCCCAGTATAAAGAGTCTAACTGAAGTGATTCACCTTGTCCCAGTATAAAGAGTCTAACTGAAGTGATTCACCTTGTCCCAGTAAAAGAGTCTAACTGAAGTGATTCACCTTGTCCCAGTATAAGAGTCTAACTGAAGTGATTCACCTTGTCCCAGTATAAAGAGTCTAACTGAAGTGATTCACCTTGTCCCAGTATAAAGAGTCTGACTGAAGTGATTCACCTTGTCCCAGTATAAAGAGTCTAACTGAAGTGATTCACCTTGTCCCAGTATAAAGAGTCTAACTGAAGTGATTCACCTTGTCCCAGTATAAAGAGTCTAACTGAAGTGATTCACCTTGTCCCAGTATAAAGAGTCTAACTGAAGTGATTCACCTTGTCCCAGTATAAACGAGTCTAACTGAAGTGATTCACCTTGTCCCAGTATAAAGAGTCTGACTGAAGTGATCACCTTGTCCCAGTATAAAGAGTCTGACTGAAGTGATTCCACCTTGTCCCAGTATAAGAGTCTAACTGAAGTGATTCACCTTGTCCCAGTATAAAGAGTCTAACTGAAGTGATTCACCTTGTCCCAGTATAAAGAGTCTAACTGAAGTGATTCACCTTGTCCCAGTATAAAGAGTCTAACTGAAGTGATTCACCTTGTCCCAGTATAAAGAGTCTAACTGAAGTGATTCACCTTGTCCCAGTACAATGAGTCTGATGGTCATGTTGACAAAGATCCAGGAGAAGCCCAAGAACTGAACCAGGTTATAGGTGAACAGAAAACCTTTCTGCAGAGTGATGAACGCTGGGAAGACATTCACAACATAGGTCACATGTCACATTCTCTGCCCTTGAACATTTCTTCCACAAAAAAGTATGTTATACTCACAGTCCTCTGGCAGCCTTCAACTTGTTAAATACAGTTTTTTTTAATCACATCCTCTGCGCCTTCAACTTGTTAAATACAGTTTTTTACTCACAGTCCTCTGGCAGCTTCAACTTGTTAATATGTTTCCCCCTATACCACAGTCCTCAACTTGTAAATACCGTTTTTTATATCACAGTCTTGGCAGCCTTTAACTGTTATACGTTTTTATATCCATCCTCTGGCGCCTTCAACTTGTTAAATACGTTTTTATACTCACAGTCCTTGCAGCTTCAACTTGTTAAATACAGTTTTTTATACCCCACAGTCCTCTGGCAGCTTCAAACTTGTTAAATACGTTTTTATACTCACAGTCCTTGGCAGCCTTCAACTTGTTAAATACATTTTTATACTCACAGTCCTAACTTGTTAATACCTTTTGTTATACTCACAGTCCTCTGGGAGCATTCACTTGTTAAATACCGTTTTTATACTCACAGTCCTCTGGCAGCCTTCAATTGTTAAATACAGTTTTTATACTCACAGTCCTCGGCAGCCTTCAACTTTTTAAATACCTTTTTATCCTCACAGTCCTCTGGCAGCTTCAACTTGTTTAAATACCGTTTTATACTCACAGTCCTCTGGCAGCCTTCAACTGTTAAATACCGTTTTTTATACTCACAGTCCTCTGGCAGCTTCAACTGTTAAATACATGTTTTATACTCACAGTCTCTTGGGAGCCTTCAACTTGTTAAAATACCTGTGTTTATACTCACAGTCCTCTGGCAGCCTTCAAAATTGTTAAATACAGTTTTTTATACTCACAGTCCTCTGCAGCCTTAACTTGTTAAATACCGTTTTTATACTCACCGTCCTCTGGCAGCCTTCAACTTGTTAAATACCGTTTTTATACTCACAGTCCTCTGGCAGCCTTCACTTGTTAAATAGAGTTTTTTATACTCACAGTCCTCTGGCAGCCTTCAACTTGTTAAATACTGTTTTTATACTCACAGTCCATGAACTTGTAATACGTTTTTTTACTCACAGTCCTCTGGCAGCCTTCACTTGTTAAATTACCCGTTTTTATACTCACAGTCCTCTGGCAGCCTTCAACTTGTTAAATACCGTTTTTTATACTCACAGTCCTCTGGCAGCCTTCAACTTGTTAAATACATTTTTTTATACTCACAGTCCTCAACTTGTTAAATACCGTTTTTTATACTCACAGTCCTCTGGCAGCCTTCAACTTGTTAAATACCGTTTTTTATACTCACAGTCCTCTGGCAGCCTTCAACTTGTTAAATACCGTTTTTTATACTCACAGTCCTCTGGCAGCCTTCAACTTGTTAAATACCGTTTTTTATACTCACAGTCCTCTGGCAGCCTTCAACTTGTTAAATACAGTTTTTTATACTCACAGTCCTCTGGCAGCCTTCAACTTGTTAAATACCGTTTTTTTATACTCACAGTCCTCTGGCAGCCTTCAACTTGTTAAATACCGTTTTTTATACTCACAGTCCTCTGGCAGCCTTCAACTTGTTAAATACCGTTTTTTATACTCACAGTCCTCTGGCAGCCTTCAACTTGTTAAATACCGTTTTTATACTCACAGTCCTCTGGCAGCCTTCAACTTGTTAAATAACCGTTTTTTTATACTCACAGTCCTCTGGCAGCCCTTCAACTTGTTAAATACCGTTGTTTTTATACTCACAGTCCCTCTGGCAGCCTTCAACTTGTTAAATACCGTTTTTATACTCACAGTCCTCTGGCAGCCTTCAACTTGTTAAATACCGTTTTTTTATACTCACAGTCCTCTGGCAGCCTTCAACTTGTTAAATACCGTTTTTTTATACTCACAGTCCTCTGGCAGCCTTCAACTTGTTAAATACCGTTTTTTATACTCACAGTCCTCTGGCAGCCTTCACTTGTTAAATACCGTTTTTTATACTCACAGTCCTCTGGCAGCCTTCAAACTTGTTAAATACCGTTTTTTATACTCACAGTCCTCTGGCAGCCTTCAACTTGTTAAATACCGTTTTTTGATACTCACAGTCCTCTGGCAGCCTTCAACTTGTTAAATACCGTGTTTATACTCACAGTCCTCTGGCAGCCTTCAACTTGTTAATACCGTTTTTTATACTCACAGTCCTCTGGCAGCATTCAACTTGTTAAATACCGTTTTTTATACTCACAGTCCTCTGGCAGCCTTCAACTTGTTAAATACCGTTTTTTATACTCACAGTCCTCAACTTGTTAAATACTGTTTTTTATACTCACAGTCCTCTGGCAGCCTTCAACTTGTTAAATACCGTGTTTTATACTCACGTCCTCTGGCAGCCTTCAACTTGTTTAAATACCCGTTTTTGATACTCACAGTCCTCTTGGCAGCCTTCAAACTTGTTTAAATACCGTTTTTTATACTCACAGTTCTCAACTTGTTAAATACCGTGTTTTATACTCACAGTCCTCAACTTGTTAATACCGTTTTTTATACTACAGTCCTCAACGTGTTAAATACCGTGTTTTTATACTCACATCCTCAACTTGTTAAATACCGTTTTTGATACTCACAGTCCTCACTTGTTAAATACCGTGTTTTATATCACAGTCCTCATTGTTAAATACCGTTTTTTATACTCACAGTCCTCAACTTGTTAAATACCGTGTTTTATACTCACAGTCCTCAATTGTTAAATACCGTTTTTTATTCCCCAGTCCTCAACTTGTTAAATACCGTTTTTTATACTCACAGTCCTCTGGCAGCCTTCAACTTGTTAAATACCGTTTTTTATACTCACAGTCCTCAACTTGTTAAATACCGTTTTTTTACTCACCGTCCTCTGGCAGCCTTCAACTTGTTAAATACGTGTTTTAAACTCACAGTCCTCAATTGTTTAAATCCGTTTTTATACTCACAGTCCTCAACTTGTTAAATACCGTTTTTTATACTCACAGTCCCCTGGCAGCCTTCAACTTGTTAAATACACGTGTTTTAAACTCACAGTCCCTGGCAGCCTTCAACTTGTTAAATATCGTTTTTATACTCACAGTCCCTGGCAGCCTTCAACATTGTTAAATACCGTTTTATACTCACAGTCCTCTGGCAGCCTTCAACTGTTAAATACCGTTTTTATACTCACAGTCCTCAACTTGTTAAATACCGTGTTTATGACTCACAGTCCTCAACTTGTTAAATACCGTTTTTATATCACGTCCTACTTAAAACCGTGTTTTTACTCACAGTCCTCAACTGTTAAATACCGTTTTTTATACTCACAGCCCAACTTGTAAATACGTGTTTATACTCACAGTCCTCAACTGTTAATACGTTTTTATACTCACAGTCCTCACTTGTTAAATACCGTGTTTTATACTCACAGTCTTCAACTTGTTAATACGTTTTATACTCACAGTCTCAACTTGTTAATCGTTTTTATATAAGTCCCTGCACCTTCAACTTGAAATACCGTTTTTTTACTCACAGTCTCAACTGTTAAAACCGTTTTATACCACAGTCCTCTGCAGCTTCAACTGTTAATACCGTTTTTTATCTCACAGTCTCTGGAGCCTTCAACTTTTAATACGTTTTTATACTCACAGTCCTTGGCAGCCTTCAACTTGTTAAATACCGTTTTTATACTCACACCTCTGGCAGCTTCAACTGGTAAATACCGGTTTTATACTCACAGTCCTCTGGCAGCCTTCACTTGTTAAATACCGTTTTTTTACTCAACAGTCCTTGGCAGCATTCACTTTTTAAATACCGTTTTTATATCACAGTCCTCTGGAGCCTTCAACTTGTTAAATACCGTTTTTTTATACTCACATCCTCAACTTGTTAAATTTCTTTTTTTATACTCAGTCCTCTGGCAGCCTTCACTTGTTAAATACCGTTTTTTATACTCACAGTCCTCTGGCAGCTTCACTTGTTAAATACCGTTTTTTATACTCACAGTCCTCTGGCAAACCCCAACTTGTTTTAAAAACGTTTTTTATACTCACAGTCTTCAAATTTTTTAAATACCGTGTTTTTATACCACAGTCCTCAACTTTTTAAATACCGTTTTTTATACTCACAGTCCTCAACTTGTTAAATTTCCCTGTTTTATACTCACAGTCCTCAACTTGTTAAATACCGTTTTTATACTCACAGTCCTCAACTTGTTTAAAAAACCGTGTTTTATACTCACAGTCCTCAACTTGTTAAATACCGTTTTTTTTAATCACAGTCCTTCCAAATTGTTAAATACCGTTTTTTATACTCACAGTCTCTGGGAGCTCAACTTGTTAAATACCGTTTTTTTTACTCACAGTCCTCAACTTGTTAAATACCGTTTTTTATACTCACATCCTTGCAGCCTCAACTTGTTAAATACGTGTTTTAAACTCCCAGTCCTCAACTTGTTAAATACCGTTTTTTTTACTCACAGTCCTCAACTTGTTAAATACCGTTTTTTTTACTCACAGTCCTCTGGCGCCTTCAACTTGTTAAAATCCGTGTTTTAAAACTCACAGTCCCCGGCAGCCTCAAATTTTTAAATACGTTTTTATACTCACAGTCCTCTGCAGCCTCAACTGTTAAATACCGTTTTTAACTCACAGTCCTCTGGCAGCCTTCAACTTGTTAAATACCGTTTTTTATACTCACAGTCCTCAACTTGTTAAATACCGTGTTTTATACTCACAGTCCTCAACTTGTTAAATACCGTTTTTTATACTCACAGTCCTCAACTTGTTAAATACCGTGTTTTATACTCACAGTCCTCAACTTGTTAAATACCGTTTTTTATACTCACAGTCCTCAACTTGTTAAATACCGTGTTTTATACTCACAGTCCTCAACTTGTTAAATACCGTTTTTTATACTCACAGTCCTCAACTTGTTAAATACCGTGTTTTATACTCACAGTCCTCAACTTGTTAAATACCGTTTTTTATACTCACAGTCCTCAACTTGTTAAATACAGTTTTTTATACTCACAGTCCTCTGGCAGCCTTCAACTTGTTAAATACCGTTTTTTATACTCACAGTCCTCAACTTGTTAAATACCGTTTTTTATACTCACAGTCCTCTGGCAGCCTTCAACTTGTTAAATACCGTGTTTTAAACTCACAGTCTCAACTTGTTAATACCGTTTTTATACTCACAGTCCTTCAACTTGTTAAATACGTTTTTTACTCACAGTCCTCTGGCAGCCTTCAACTTGTTAAATACGTTTTTTATACTCACAGTCCCCTGGCAGCCTTCAACTTGTTAAATACCGTGTTTTAAAATCACAGTCCTCTGGCAGCCTTCAACTTTTTAAATACGTTTTTTAACTCACAGTCCTCTGGCAGCCTTCACTTGTTTAAATACCATTTTTATAAATCACGTCCTCTGGCAGCCTTCACTTGTTAAATACCGTTTTTTATACCACAGTCCTCTGGCAGCCTTCAACCCTTTTTAAATACAGTTTTTTATACTCACAGTCCTTGGCAGCCTTCAACTTGTTAAATACCGTTTTTTATACTCACAGTCCTTGGCAGCCTTCAACTTGTTAATACCGTTTTTTATACTCACAGTCCTCTGGCAGCCTTCAACTTTAAATACCGTTTTTTATTAACCGTTTTTATACTCACAGTCTCCTGGCAGCCTTCAACTTGTTAAAATACCGTTTTTTTATACTCACCAGTCTCCTGGCAGCCCTTCAACTTGGTTAAATACCGTTTTTTATACGCACAGTCACCTCTGGGCAGCCTTCAACTTGTTAAATACCGTTTTTTATACTCACAGTCCTCTGGCAGCCTTGACTCCATGTTCAGTCGGATCTTTTTCTCCTCCTGAAAAAGTTACCACAGAATACACAATTAATATATATACACAGCAAATATGTAATATATTGTTATAAATAAATAATATAACATATAAATATGAAATTATCACTGTCACAATGTGCTATGCTTGATGCTCTTCCCCCACCGTAGAGACAGACAGGCAGACTGGTGTTGTCTCTCTCTCTCATTAATGAGCTGTATCCGCTGTAATAACATGAATAGTACAGGACGTTACCTTCTCCCGTAGCTCCATCTCAGCGTCAGACTCGTCCATCCAGCGGTCGAAGTCAGGAGCCAGGAACAGAGGTTTCTTCTCCTGCAGGGTGAGTCTGTCCCACCAGCCGCTCAGCTGCTTACGGACTGTGATGTTCACCTGGCGCTGGGTCGACCTGTGACTCACCTGGAGAACACACGACATCCATTAGCTTACAACAACCACGCTCATTCTCCAAATACTAGTATGGAAATTAATCTGTGAGACAACCACTCTATACATGTACATCTCTACATCACTACACTGTACTCTATACATGCACATATTTACATCATTAGCAATGGCTCTGATGAGTAAATTGTATTATGCAAAAGCAGACATGAAAAGAGTTAAATGAATGGTTCAGTAATCATTCATATCTTCTGGTTTATTATTATTCAGAATAGTCCATCTAGTAAACACAGTCTATTATTATTATTCAGAATAGTCCATCTAGTAAACACAGTCTATTATTATTATTCAGAATAGTCCATCTAGTAAACACAGTCTATTATTATTATTCAGAATAGTCCATCTAGTAAACACAGTCTATTATTATTATTCAGAATAGTCCATCTAGTAAACACAGTCTATTATTATTATTCAGAATAGTCCATCTAGTAAACACAGTCTATTATTATTATTCAGAATAGTCCATCTAGTAAACACAGTCTATTATTATTATTCAGAATAGTCCATCTAGTAAACAAAGTATATTATTATTATTCAGAATAGTCCATCTAGTAAACAGTCTATTATTATTCAGAATAGTCCATCTAGTAAACACAGTCTATTATTATTATTCAGAATAGTCCATCTAGTAAACATAGTCTATTATTATTATTCAGAATAGTCCATCTAGTAAACAGTCTATTATTATTATTCAGAATAGTCCATCTAGTAAACACAGTATATTATTATTATTCAGAATAGTCCATCTAGTAAACACAGTCTATTATTATTATTCAGAATAGTCCATCTAGTAAACACAGTCTATTATTATTATTCAGAATAGTCCATCTAGTAAACAGTCTATTATTATTATTCAGAATAGTCCATCTAGTAAACACAGTCTATTATTATTATTCAGAATAGTCCATCTAGTAAACAGTCTATTATTATTATTCAGAATAGTCCATCTAGTAAACACAGTCTATTATTATTATTCAGAATAGTCCATCTAGTAAACACAGTCTATTATTATTATTCAGAATAGTCCATCTAGTAAACACAGTCTATTATTATTATTCAGAATAGTCCATCTAGTAAACACAGTCTATTATTATTCAGAATAGTCCATCTAGTAAACACAGTCTATTATTATTATTCAGAATAGTCCATCTAGTAAACACAGTCTATTATTATTCAGAATAGTCCATCTAGTAAACACAGTCAAACAGTACCTCTGTCTTCACAGCATTAAGAAACGGCAGACTAAACTCATAATCATTTTCTCCTCTTGCTCCATGACCCTGGGCTGGAAACAAACAAAACAAAGGGATCATTCGTTCCTGCTTCAAAGCCATGCACTAGTGGTAGATGTGTCTTCTAGTGGAAAATACTGTAGTAAAGAAAAACGTACCCCTGAATCGGAGGACATTATCATGTACGCTGATGTCAAGATTCTGCAAGAGAAGGAAGAGAGAGGTCAGTACAGATTACATTATGAGTTAAAGTTGCTCCCCATCAGACTCTCACAAAGTGCATACAAGTGCTGATACTTGAGCTCTCTAGGGGTAAATCATTTTTCAAAGGAAGGTGTGCAAATGGTACTTTTAAAATGTAATAATATTAGGCTACTGGTTTGTGTTCTTAGTTTCACTGACCAGTGTTTACAAGTCGATGCAAATGCAACCAGCCAGGACTCGTTATTAGCCCCTAGTCTATCTGTGAAGAGGAAGTGTAGCTATGTTGAAACCCTATCTTCAACCACCATCTCCATGAACATAAGATGTAAACAATACTGATGTTATCTACCACCTATGAAGAAGCCTGCTAGCCACTCTGAAGAAGCCTGCTAGCCTCTGAAGAAGCCTGCTAGCCTCTGAAGAAGCCTGCTAGCCTCTCTGAAGAAGCCTGCTAGCCTCTCTGAAGAAGCCTGCTAGCCTCTCTGAAGAAGCCTGCTAGCCTCTCTGAAGAAGCCTGCTAGCCTCTCTGAAGAAGCCTGCTAGCCTCTGAAGAAGCCTGCTAGCCTCTGAAGAAGCCTGCTAGCCTCTCTGAAGAAGCCTGCTAGCCTCTGAAGAAGCCTGCTAGCCTCTCTGAAGAAGCCTGCTAGCCTCTCTGAAGAAGCCTGCTAGCCTCTCTGAAGAAGCCTGCTAGCCTCTCTGAAGAAGCCTGCTAGCCTCTAAAGAAGCCTGCTAGCCTCTCTGAAGAAGCCTGCTAGCCTCTGAAGAAGCCTGCTAGCCTCTCTGAAGAAGCCTGCTAGCCTCTCTGAAGAAGCCTGCTAGCCTCTCTGAAGAAGCCTGCTAGCCACTGAAGAAGCCTGCTAGTCTCTGAAGAAGCCTGCTAGCCTCTGAAGAAGCCTGCTAGCCTCTGAAGAAGCCTGCTAGCCTCTGAAGAAGCCTGCTAGCCACTCACACAGCTGAAGGTGGATATGAGTCTTGGAACGATCTGTCCATCTATGTCTGATGGTTTAGTAACAACCTTCTAAACATGTCACTCAGTTTGGAATAAATCCAGAGACTATGCCTGCTGTCCATTTCTCTGTCGGCTGGACTCCTGTGCAGGGTTGGGCTCAATTCCATTTCAATTCATAAAGTAAACCAAATTCCAATTCCATTTTCTTCATTGAAAAGCATTGAAGGTGCTCATTTGCATGAAACCAATCCCTTCCAGAACAGCAGGCATTGCACCTGTTAATCCGTTCACCTGCTAGAAAACCAAAACCTCCATTGTTCAGAGAAATTGCTATTTTAGAGCATGACTGATGCAAACATCCCATTTAGTGGTAATTTAGAGCATGACTGATGCAAACATCCCATTTAGTGGTAATTTAGAGCATGACTGATGCAAACATCCCATTTAGTGGTAATTCATGAATGTGTAATTAATACAGATACCAAAAGACAGTTCCTTATCATTTGATCCCAAACCTCTATCAAATGTCGTGTGTGTGTGTGTGCGTGCGTGTGTGTGTATGTGTGTGTGTGCGTGTGCGTATGTGTGTGTGTATGTGTGGTCCAGATAGCATGGATCATCCTCTCCTCTGATCTCCAGTTCAGCCTGACCATCAAACCGCTTATAACGAACACTCTGCACAGTGACTCAGTTATTATGGATACACCACAGTGACTCAGTTATTATGGATACACCACAGTGACTCAGTTATTATGGATACACCACAGTGACTCAGTTATTATGGATACATCACAGTGACTCAGTAATATGGATACACCACAGTGACTCAGTTATTATGGATACACCACAGTGACTCAGTTATTATGGATACACCACAGTGACTCAGTTATTATGGATACACCACAGTGACTCAGTTATTATGGATACACCACAGTGACTCAGTTATTATGGATACACCACAGTGACTCAGTTATTATGGATACACCACAGTGACTCAGTTTTTATGGATACAGCACAGTGACTCAGTTATTATGGATACACCACAGTGACTCAGTTATTATGGATACACCACAGTGACTCAGTTATTATGGATACACCACAGTGACTCAGTTATTATGGATCACATCATTCTCAGAAACACAAGCATACGATTGTATTTATATTCTATTATTTGCTCTTACGCAATGATAGCCTACTCAGTCACAAGTTTCAGTAGGCCTATACCCAACATTAGGGATAAATCCTCATGCAAAGGGTCGATTCTCAATCCAATGTGAACTTCGGAAACCTGGTGATGAATATAGCGCGCAAGATAAACCACTGCAGATTTGTGAGCGGTTAATGTATTGCCTCCGGGTGACAGGTCCTCTCTCCACTCACCAGCGCATCAATCAGCTCCACTCGCAGGTAGATGTCCTCATGCCGCTGAGCCCAGTACACGTGAGGAGTCAACGTCTGCTGCATCGCCCCTGATGAGAATGTCAGCACAATTCACGAAATTCATGAAATCCTTACAATAACATGCCAGACGATGTGTCTCTTCCTGGCATAAGCCGTTGAAAACTAGAATATTCTGTGAGACCAGCGTGCGCGTTCAGGTTAACGTCGTTACGTTACGGGCTCGTTCACTGTGGGTCACGTGGAATCAATGTTTACGGAAGCTGCATCAAGCGAAGTTCGTAGCGGCTAAAGTTGGGCGATATTTAACGTCTTCGCTGCAATCAGCATGCTCCCAATTACGTCTTGAAGTTGTTTTTGTAGTGATCGTTTTCCAGCTAACATGCAGGCGGAATCACCCGTAACTTCTCCGAAATTTGATTTGTTAGATTCGTGTGGTAAATTCCGTGTGCTGGTTGGTGTCACGGGTAGTGTGGCAGCTCTCAAAGTGCCCCTATTGGTCTCCCAACTTCTAGAGTTACCCGGGGTAAGTAGATAGCTATCTAACTGGGATTTATTTTCCGCTAGCTATAGTTGGATTCCTGAGTCGGCGTTACTCAAACAAGTCAAAGTATGGTGTCCAACGTTGCTTCTGTGACCTGCACATGCATGATTGTACCGCTGGAGGACGATGTTCCCCTTGTATCAAACCAAACCAATATGCTGTATTGTCAAGAGGGGTTATCATGCAACTAACAGAAACTGACGGGGGAAATTCCCCCCAAAATAGTTATTTACATATCCTAGAGGTGTATTCACGACGTTACACTTCTAATATCAGGTCATATCAGCATTAACCGAACGTAGCAGGTTAATGCTACCACATCCGGTTTTCAGCAGAAAAGGAAGCTCGGTTGAATTAGCTGTAGCCCTAAAAACCGGATGCATCCGGTTGTTGGCTACTCTGCTAAGGGTGCATCAGCATTAACCTGTTATTTAGATAATAAACACTTCTAATATCAGGTCATATCTGCATTAACCTAATGTAGCAGGTTAACACTACAACATCCGATTTTCAGCAGAAAAGGAAGCTAGGTTGAATTAGCTGTATCCCCGAAAACCTATTATTTAGACAGGCCTAGATAATAATAATAATAATAATAATAATAATAATCCAAAGCGATTTACAGTCATGTGTGCATACATTTTTACGTATGGGTGGTCCCGGGGATCGAACCCACTACCCTGGCGTTACAAGCGCCATGGTCTACCAATTGAGCTACAGAGGACCACAATTGAGCTACATAGGCATAGATAATCAACACTTCTAATAGCAGGTCATATCTGTTTTAACCTGTTATTTAGACAGGCCTAGCTAAATTATCAAACCGTTACCGGCACACTCAATTCCTCTGAAGATCTATTCGTTAGTCATATAGGTGGCTTACCTAGAAGAATATCAGAATATCCAATTATGGACATTTGTAGAGGCACAAATAGAGGTAAATCACAAATAAGGTTCGGACATCAGCCATAAAAAAACGAATCCTCTTATCTAAACTGTAACCCTGCAATATAATTAATAATTCATCTATTTGTTCAACCTTTCATGTGATTGGTTCTATTTTTGGGAGTGCCGACTGTACAAGACAATGGAAAAGTCATTCCCCTACCCAAGAATAGTAAAGCCCCCTTTACTGGCTTACTGGGGATCCATAATAAACCCCAGGAAGAGTAGCTGCTGCCTTGGCAGGAACTAATGGGGATCCATAATAAACCCCAGGAAGAGTAGCTGCTGCCTTGGCAGGAACTAATGGGGATCCATAATAAACCCCAGGAAGAGTAGCTGCTGCCTTGGCAGGAACTAATGGGGATCCATAATAAACCCCAGGAAGAGTAGCTGCTGCCTTGGCAGGAACTAATGGGGATCCATAATAAACCCCAGGAAGAGTAGCTGCTGCCTTGGCAGGAACTAATGGGGATCCATAATAAACCCCAGGAAGAGTAGCTGCTGCCTTGGCAGGAACTAATGGGGATCCATAATAAACCCCAGGAAGAGTAGCTGCTGCCTTGGCAGGAACTAATGGGGATCCATAATAAACCCCAGGAAGAGTAGCTGCTGCCTTGGCAGGAACTAATGGGGATCCATAATAAACCCCAGGAAGAGTAGCTGCTGCCTTGGCAGGAACTAATGGGGATCCATAATAAACCCCAGGAAGAGTAGCTGCTGCCTTGGTAGGAACTCATGGGGATCCATAATAAACCCCAGGAAGAGTAGCTGCTGCCTTGGCAGGAACTAATGGGGATCCATAATAAATACAAATAGGCCTACATTCATTTATGCGCAATCTCACCTTTTATTTAGAAAGTTAATCATTTTTGATTATGCTGCTTTGTTTGAACCTCTCTGCTCTTGAGTAATGTATGATAGAATAGAACCCTTCCATAGGTCGTAGAGGCTAGGGGTTGATCCTAGGGGATAGGGGTTAGGGGTTGATCCTAGGGGATAGGGGTTAGGGGTTGATCCTAGGGGATAGGGGTTAGGGGTTGATCCTAGGGGATAGGGGTTAGGGGTTGATCCTAGGGGATAGGGGTTAGGGGTTGATCCTAGGGGATAGGGGTTAGGGGTTGATCCTAGGGGATAGGGGTTAGGGGTTGATCCTAGGGGATAGGGGTTAGGGGTTGATCCTAGGGGATAGGTGGTAGGGGATTTGGGGTTGAGAGGAAAGCACTTTTTAAAGAACAACTGGTGGAATGAGATCGATATCCATCCAGGATACCCAGGCCAGGTCAATTAGGAAGGCCTGCTCGCTAAAGTGTTTTAGGGAGCGTTTGACAGTGATGAGGGGTGGTCGTTTGACCGCGGACCCGTTACGGACGCAGGCAATAAGGCAGTGATCGCTGAGATCCTGGTTGAAGACAGCGTAGGTGTATTTAGAGGGTAAATTAGTCAGGATGATATCTATGAGGGTGCCCATGTTTACGGATTTAGGGTTGTACCTGGTAGGTTCCTTGATAATTTGTGTGAGATTGAGGGCATCTAGTTTGGATTGTAGGATGGCCGGGGTGTTAAGCATATCCCAGTTTAGGTCACCAAGCAGTACGAACTCTGAGAATAGATGGGGGGAAATCAGTTCACATATGGTGTCCAGGGCACAGCTGGGGGCTGAGGGGGGTCTGTAGCAAGCGGCAACAGTGAGAGACTTATTTCTGGAAAGGTGGATTTTTAGAAGTAGAAGCTCAAACTGTTTGGGCACAGACCTGGATAGTATGATAGAGCTCTGCAGGCTATCTCTACAGTAGATTGAACTCTGCCCCCTTTGGCAGTTCTATCTAGACAGAAAATGTTGTAGTTGGGGAAGGAAATGTCTGAATTTTGGTGGCCTTCCTAAGCCAGGATTCAGACACTGCTAGAACATCAGAGTTGGCGGAGTGTGCTAACGCAGTGAATAACTCAAACTTAGGAAGGAGGCTTCTGATGTTAACATGCAAAAAGCCAAGGCTTTTACGGTTACAGAAGTCAACAAACGATAGCGCCTGGTTGATCCTAGGGTATAGGGGTTAGGGGTTGATCCTAGGGGAGAGGTGGTAGGGGTTAGGGGTTGATCCTAGGGGATAGGTGGTAGGGGCTAGGGGTTGATCATAGGGGAGAGGTGGTAGGGGCTAGGGGTTGATCCTAGGGGATAGGTGGTAGGGGCTAGGGGTTGATCCTAGGGGATAGGTGGTAGGTGTTAGGGGTTGATCCTAGGGTAGAGGTGGTAGGGGCTAGGGGTTGATCCTAGGGGATAGGTGGTAGGTGTTAGGGGTTGATCCTAGGGGAGAGGTGGTAGGGGCTAGGGGTTGATCCTAGGGGAGAGGTGGTAGGGGCTAGGGGTTGATCCTAGGGGAGAGGCGGTAGGGGCTAGGGGTTGATCCTAGGGGAGAGGTGGTAGGTGTTAGGGGTTGATCCTAGGGGAGAGGTGGTAGGGGCTAGGGGTTGATCCTAGGGGAGAGGTGGTAGGGGCTAGGGGAGAGGTGGTAGGGGCTAGGGGTTGATCCTAGGGGTTAGGGGTTAGGGGTTGATCCTAGGGGAGAGGTGGTAGGGGCTAGGGGTTGATCCTAGGGGTTAGGGGTTAGGGGTTGATCCTAGGGGAGAGGTGGTAGGGGCTAGGGGTTGATCCTAGGGAATAGGTGGTAGGGGCTAGGGGTTGATCCTAGGGGAGAGGTGGTAGGGGCTAGGGGTTGAAACTAGGGGTTGATCCTAGGGACTAGGGGTTGATTGTAGGGGAGAGATGGTAGGGGCTAGGGGTTGATCCTAGGGGATAGGTGGTAGGGGTTAGGGGTTGATCCTAGGGGATAGGTGGTAGGGGCTAGGGGTTGATCCTAGGGGAGAGGTGGTAGGGGCTAGGGGTTGATCCTAGGGGTTAGGGGTTGATCCTAGGGGTTGATCCTAGGGGCTAGGGGTTGATCCTAGGGGTTAGGGGTTGATCCTAGGGTATAGGTGGTAGGGGCTAGGGGTTGATCCTAGGGGTTGATCCTAGGGGTTAGGGGTTGATCCTAGGCGTTAGGGGTTGATCCTAGGGGCTAGGGGTTGATCCTAGGGGTTAAGGGTTGGTTTGTGTTTCAAGGTTGGAATAACACCCTTATTGTCCTCTCCCCTCTGCAGGTGGATGTGCGTGTTGTCTCTACAGAACACGCCAAGCACTTCTACAACCCTGCTGAGGTGGCTGTCAGCGTCTACAGCGACGCAAATGAGTGGGAGGTTGGTTATCAAACACAGCTCCTGTCTAGATAAGATAGAGCTTAGGTCAAATTGACGTCAAAAGTTGCATTTTAGCTAACCCTAACCCTTTTCCTAACCTTAACCTAATTATCCTAACCTGCTGCGTAAGTTCTCCTAACCTGCCGCGTAAGTTCTCCTAACCTGCTATGAAAAGTCAATTCTGACCATAAGCAGTATACCATCTAGTGAAGACCTCAAACACAGGGTTTAGACATGTAGAGTTATAATTGACTTCTAGTTGACTGGGAGGCAGGTAGCCTAGCGGTTAAAGGGTAGCCTAGCGGTTAAAGGGTAGCCTAGCGGTTAAAGGGTAGCCTAGCGGTTAAAGCATTGGGTCAGTAACCAAAGGCAGGTAGCCTAGCGGTTAAAGCATTGGGTCAGTAACCAAAGGCAGGTAGCCTAGCGGTTAAAGCATTGGGTCAGTAACCAAAGGCAGGTAGCCTAGCGGTTAAAGGGTAGCCTAGCGGTTAAAGCATTGGGTCAGTAACCAAAGGCAGGTAGCCTAGCGGTTAAAGCATTGGGTCAGTAACCAAAGGCAGGTAGCCTAGCGGTTAAAGCATTGGGTCAGTAACCAAAGGCAGGTAGCCTAGCGGTTAAAGCATTGGGTCAGTAACCAAAGGCAGGTAGCCTAGCGGTTAAAGCATTGGGTCAGTAACCAAAGGCAGGTAGCCTAGCGGTTAAAGCATTGGGCCAGTAACCAAATGCCTGAGCCGAATACCTGAGCCGACAAGGTGAAAAATATGTCGATGTGCCCTTGAGCAAGGCACTTAACCCAAATTGCTCCAGGGGTGACGTACTACTGTGGCTGACCCTGTAAAACAACACATTTCACTTCACCTATCCGGTATATGAGACAATAAAATATATATACTGTATTTTTTACTGGTCTTATATTTCTAAATCTAATTGCGGTAAAAACACCGTTTGGAAATCAAATGTCTACTGCTGAAAAGAGAAGACGAATCTGTCTGTAGTTAGGCTAACAAAATAATTTCTCAACTCATCATATTGAGCGACTAGCGGAGCGCATCTGCCATCCCCGGTAAGTGCACATATTCCTTTCTGCAATGTGTATTTATCCTCTTGCAGATGTCAGAAAGCCCTGGTTCCAGTCTCACATCAAGGTAAAGTGTTGACTGGACTCTATTGGACCCCAGTGGGGTTGGGAGGTACGACTCAGTGGGGTTGGGAGGCAGGACTCAGTGGGGTTGGGAGGCAGGACTCAGTGGGGTGGGGAGGCAGGACTCAGTGGGGTTGGGAGGTACGACTCAGTGGGGAGGGGAGGCAGGACTCAGTGGGGTTGGGAGGCAGGACTCAGTGGGGTGGGGAGGCAGGACTCAGTGGGGTTGGGAGGCAGGACTCAGTGGGGGAGGGGGAGGCAGGACTCAGTGGGGAGGGGAGGCAGGACTCAGTGGGGTTGGGAGGCAGGACTCAGTGGGGTGGGGAGGCAGGACTCAGTGGGGTGGGGAGGGGAGGCAGGACTCAGTGGGGTGGGGAGGGGAGGCAGGACTCAGTGGGGGTTGGGAGGCAGGACTCAGTGGGGGTTGGGAGGGGAGGCAGGACTCAGTGGGGTTGGGAGGCAGGACTCAGTGGGGTGGGGAGGCAGGACTCAGTGGGGTGGGGAGGCAGGACTCAGTGGGGTGGGGAGGCAGGACTCAGTGGGGTGGGGGTGGGGAGGCAGGACTCAGTGGGGTTGGGTTGGGAGGCAGGACTCAGTGGGGTGGGGAGGCAGGACTCAGTGGGGTGGGGTTGGGAGGCAGGACTCAGTGGGTCCAAGGATAAGCCAGACTTGTGGAGGTCTACAATTTTCTTTCTGAGGTCTTGGCTGATTTCTTTGGATTTCCCTATGATGTCAAGCAAAGAGGCACTGAGTTTGAAGGTAGGCCTTGAAATACATCCACAGGTATACCTCCAATTGACTCAAATGATGTCAATTAGCCTATCAGAAGCTTCTAAAGCCATGACATCATTTTCTGGAATTTTCTAACCTGTTTAAAGGCAAAGTCAACTAAGTGTATGTAAACTTCTGACCCACTGGAATTGTGATACAGTGAATTATAAGTGAAATAATCTGTCTGTAAACATTTGTTAGAAAAATTACTTGTGTCATGCACAAAGTAGATGTCCTAACCGACTTGCCAAAACTATAGTTTGTCAACAAGACATTTGTGGAGTGGTTGAAAAAGTTTATGTATCCTTCCGACTTCAACTGTAAATGTGATAATGTTGTGAATACTGTTCCTCTTTCTTAGCTGTGGACCCAGCGCTCTGACCCTGTGCTGCACATAGAGCTGAGACGTTGGGCTGACCTCCTCGTTATAGCCCCTCTGGACGCTAACACACTGGGGAAGATCGCCAGCGGCATCTGTGACAACTTACTGGTGAGATCCTGTACTGGTAGACTGACAGGGCACGGTTAGGAATCCAAATAACTAGACAGACGGCCTGTCAACAGGGCATGGTTAGGATCCTCCATAACTAGACAGACTGCCTGTCAACAGGGCATGGTTAGGATCCTCCATAACTAGACAGACTGCCTGTCAACAGGGCATGTTAGGATCCTCCATAACTAGACAGACTGCCTGTCAACAGGGCATGGTTAGGATCCTCCATAACTAGACAGACTGCCTGTCAACAGGGCATGGTTAGGATCCTCCATAACTAGACAGACGGCCTGTCAACAGGGCATGTTAGGATCCTCCATAACTAGACAGACTGCCTGTCAACAGGACATGGTCTCCATAACTAGACGAGAACTTGCCCTGTCCAACAGGGCATGGTTCCCCCATAAAATAGACAGACTGCCTGTCAACAGGGCATGGTTCCTCCATAACTAGACAGACTGCCTGTCAACAGGGCATGGTTCTCCATAACTAGACAGACTGCCTGTCAACAGGGCATGTTAGGTCCTCCTAACTAGACAGGACTGCCTGTCAAAGGCTGGTTCCTCCATAACAGACAGCGGCCTGTCACAGGCCCTGTTAGGATCCTCCATAACTGACAGACTGCCGTCAAAAGGACATGGTCCTCCAACTAGACGATCCTGTCAACAGGGCATGGTCCTCCATAACAGACACTGCCTGCACAGGGCATGGTAGGATCTCCATAACTAGACAGACTGCCCGTCAAAGGGCATGGTAGGATCTCCATAACTAGACAGACTGCCTGTCAACAGGGCATGGTTCCTCCATAACTAGACAGACTGCCTGTCAACAGGACATGGTTAGGATCCTCCATAACTAGACAGACTGCCTGTCAACAGGGCATGGTTCCTCCATAACTAGACAGACCTCCCTGTCACAGGACATGGTTGGATCCTCCATAACTAGACAGACTGCCTGTCAACAGGGCATGGTTAGGATCCTCCATAACTAGACAGACTGCCTGTCAACAGGACATGGTTAGGATCCTCCATAACTAGACAGACTGCCTGTCAACAGGGCATGGTTAGGATCCTCCATAACTAGACAGACTGCCTGTCAACAGGGCATGGTTCCTCCTAACTAGACAGACGGCCTGTCAACAGGACATGGGTATGATCCTCCATAACTAGACCGACTGCCTGTCACAGACTGGTTCCTCATACCTAGAACATACGGCCTGTCAACAGGACATGTTAGGATCCTCCATAACTAGACTACTGCCTGTCAACAGGGCTGGTTAGGATCCTCCAAACTAGACAGACTGCCTGTTCAACATGACATGGTTAGGATCCTCCATAACTAACAGACTGCCTGTCAACAGGGCATGGTTAGGATCCTCCATAACTGACAGACTGACTGTCACAGGGCATGGGTAAGGATCCTCCATAACTAGACAGACTGCCGGTCCACAGGGGCATGGTTTCTCCATAACTAGACGACTGCCTGTCACGGGCAGGTTCCTCCAAACTAGACAGACTGCCTTCAAACAAGGGCATGGTTAGGATTCCTCCATAACTAACAGACTGCCTGTCAAGACCTTGGTTAGGATCCTCCATAACTAGAAGACAGCCTGCCTGTCAACAGGACATGGTGTAGGATCCTCCAACTAGACAGAACTGCCTTTCCAACGGACATGGTTCCTCCATAACTAACAGACTGCCTGTCCAACAGGGCATGGTCGGGATCCTCCATACAGACAGCTGCCTGTCACCAGGGCAGGTTAGGAGTCCTCCATAACTAGACAACTGCTGTCAACAGGGCATGTTAGGATCCTCCATAACTAGACAGACTGCTGTCAACAGACATGGTTAAGGATCCTCCCATAACTAGACAGACTGCCTGTCCCACAGCCTGGTTAGGATCCTCATAACTAGACAGACTGCCTGTCAACAGACATGTTAGGATCCTCCATAACTAGACAGACTGCCTGTCAACATGACATGGTTGGTCCCCATACCTGACGACTGCCTGTCAAACATGGGCAATGGTAGGGAGCCTCCATAGACTTAGACAGACGGCCTGTCGACATAACATGTTCCGCATAACTAGACAGAACTGCTGTCAACAGGACATGGTTAGGATCCTCCTAACTAGACAGACTGCATGTCAAACATGGCATGGTTCCTCCATAAACTAGACGGGAGTGAGCTGCCTTTCAACAGGACTGGTTAGTTTCGTCCTCCATAACTAGACGCTGCCTTCAACAGACATGTAGGAAATCCTCCATAACTGACAATGCTGTCAAGCAGGGGGAGGGGGCATGTTAGGAGGGGGGGTGGTGCCGTCCATATCGTTGAGCGAGGACTGGCCGGGTGTGGTCAACAGGGCATTGTTAGGATCCTCCATAACTAGACAGACTGCCTGTCCACATGAACATGGTTAGGATCCTCCTAACTAGACAGACTGCCTGTCAACAGGACATGGTAGGATCCTCCATAACTAGACAGACTGCCTGTCAACAGGGCATGGTCCTCCATAACTAGACAGACTGCCTGTCAACAGGACATGGTTAGGATCCTCCATAACTAGACAGACTGCCTGTCAACAGGACATGGTTAGGATCCTCCATAACTAGACAGACTGCCTGTCAACAGGCATGGTTAGGATCCTCCATAACTAACAGACTGCCTTCAACAGGACATGTTAGGATCCTCCATAACTAGACAGACTGCCTGTCCACAGACATGGTTGGATCCTCCATAACTAGACAGACTGCTGTCAACCAGGGCATGTTAGGATCCTCCCTACTAGACCCTGCCTTGTCAAAGGACATGGTTTAGTATCCTCCATAACTAGACATACTGCCTTTCCCAACATGACAGGGTCCTCCCTAAACTAGACAGACTGCCTGTCAACAGGGCATGGTTAGGATCCTCCATAACTAGACAGACTGCCTGTCAACAGGGCATGGTTAGGATCCTCCATAACTAGACAGACTGCCTGTCAACAGGGCATGGTTCCTCCATAACTAGACAGACTGCCTGTCAACAGGGCATGGTTAGGATCCTCCATAACTATACAGACGCCTGTCTACAGGGCATTTGTTAGGACCTCCATAACTAGACCAGACTGCCTGTCAACAGGGCCAGGGTCCCTCCATAACTAACAGACGGCTTTCAACAGGGCATGTTTAGGATCCTCCTAAACTAGAAGACAGACTGCCTGTCAACAGGCATGGTTTCCTCCATACTAACACTTCCTGTCAACAGGACATGGTTAGGATCCTCCATTAACTAGACAGAGACGGCCTGTCAACAGGAACATGGTTAGGAATCCTCCATAACTAGCAGACTGCCTGTTCAAATGGACATGGTTTAGGATCCTCCTACTAGACAGACTGCTGTCAACAGGGCATGTTAGGATCCTCCATAACTAGAACAGCCTTGCCTGTCAACAGACATGGGTAGGAGCCTCCATAACTAACAGACTGCCTGTCAAAAGGACATGGTTCCTCCATAACTAGACGACTGCCTGTCAACAGGGCATGGTTGGATCCTCCATACGAAACAGACTGCCTGTCAACAGGACATTGTTAGGAATCCCCATAACTAGACAGACTGCCTGTCACTAGACATGGATCCTCCATCACTAGACAGACGCCCTGTCACAGGACATGGTTCCTCCCTAACTAGACAGACTGCCTGTCAACAGGAATGTTAGGATCCTCATCACTAGACGACTGTCCTGTCAACAGGACATGGTCCTTCCCATAACTAGACAGACTGCCTGTCAACACAGGGCTATTGTTAGGATCCTCCATAACTAGACAGAGACTGCCTGTCCAACAGGACTGTTCCTTTCCTCCATAACTAGACAACCTTTGCCTGGCAACATGCACATTGTCCTCCATAACTAGACAGCTGCCGTCACAGGGTCATGGTTAGGATCCTCCATAACTAACACTGCCTGTCAACAGACATGGTTTCCTCCTCACTAGACAGACTGCCTGTCAACAGGACCTGGTCCTCCTAACTAGAACAGACTGCCTGTCAACATGCCACTGGTCCTCCATAACTAGACAGACTGCCTGTCCAACAGGGCATGGTTTAGGATCCTCGCAAACTAGACAGACTGCCTGTCAACAGGCATGTTAGGATACTCATAACTAGACAGACTGCCTTTCACGATGGGGATGGTTAGATCCTCCTACTAGACAGACTGCCTGTCAACAGGCGGGCATGGTTTAGGATCCTCCATAACTATGACAGACTGCCTGTTCCAACAGGGCATGGTTTCCTCCATTAACTAGACAGACTGCCTTCACAGGGCATGGTTAGGATCCTCCCTAACTAGACAGACCTGCTGTTCAACAGGGGCATGGTTGGATCCTCCATAACTAGACATACTGCCTGTCAATCAGGACATGGTTAGGAATCCCCTCATAACTAGACAACTGCCTGTCACCAGGGCATGGTTAGGATCCTCCAACTAACAGACTGCCTGTCAACAGGGCATGGTTCCTCCATAACAGACAGACTGCCTGTCAACTAGGACATGGTTAGGATCCTCCATAAGACTAGACGACTGCCTTCATCACAGACCTGGGTTGAAATCCTCCATAACTAGAACAGACTGCCGGTCAACAGGCAGGTTAGGATTCCTCCATAATAGACAAGACTGCCTGTCACATGACATGGTCCTCCATACTAGACAGACGGCCTGTTCAAAGGCATGGGTTCCCTCCATAACTAGACAGACTGCCTGTCACGAGACATGGTTAGGATCCTCCATAACTAACCTACGTCCTGTCCAAACAGGGCATGGTTAGGATCCTCCATAACTAGACAGACTGCCTGCACAGGCCATGGTTAGGACCTCCCATACTAGACCCGACGCCTGTCACAGACTGGTTAGGATCCTCCTAACTAGACAGACTGCCGTCAACATGGCAATGTTCCTCCATAACTATGAAGACAGACTTCCTGTCAACATGGCCTGGTTGAGGATCCTCCCTAACTAGACAGACTGCCTGTCAACATGGCATGGTTAGGATCCTC